TTTTAGATCTCGAATACTTTCTGTCTTGTATTATATTACATTTCAAAGAATCTAAATGTTAAAATGAAATTACTAGAAGAGATAAAAACAGTTTTCAAAGATGATCTAACTAGACCAATAACTCTGGATGACCTTAACAAGTTAAGATATTGTGAAGTAATTATTAAAGAAACGTCAAGAATAAGGCCTGCGGTTCCTCTTGTATCAAGATATACTAATCATGCTGATGAAATAGCAGGATATTCTTGGCCATCAACTACCAACACTTTATTCATAATGTATGTTCGAGGTATTAATAATAACCCTTGGTATTGGAAAGATCCTGAAAAGTTTATTCCTGAAAGATTTTATGAATCTCAAGAAATTAAAAATCATAAATTTTCATTTTCAATGTTTGGTGGAGGTTTAAGATTATGTGTGGGTCAAAATATTGCAATGCTTCAAATGAAACTATTATTGGCTTTGCTTTATAGAAAGGTTGACATTGAACTTGTAGATATGAATGCACCTCTCAGAATCAGAAATTCAACATCTACTATTTGTGAAAATTTATTATATATAAACAGCCTACAAATTAGAAATTCATTACTGAGAATCAAATGCGTGACATGTATGACATCTTTACTGAAACTTGCAAATTAGCAACTTTAATACTATTTGCAATTAACTATAAAGTTACTTAGTAGTAGTAATTTTCTTTACATTTTACCATATGTTAGCAATACGCCTACTACTGTCAATTTTTTTTAGCTTTACAATTACTTTATAATTGTTTTATTATTACTATACATTTATTATATATTAGCAACAAGCCTACAACTTGATTTTGCAAATTTCAGCAAAGTTAATAAAATCTTCATCTTTAAAGAAATTTTACTAATTTTCAATCTGTGGAAGAAAAAATTTATTTATCAAAATGCTACAATACATTTAAATTATTAATGTGCATATATTTTAAATATTTTACGTCAAACGTCATACGACGCTCTCTGACGATCAAGTCAGGAGGTTAAATAATAAACTAGATAGCTGCGCAACGTCATCGCGCAAAACCAGGAACGAAGGTCTAAGTGAAGGTCAGGATCAAGATATATTATAAATTTGTGCATAATTATGTGATAACATGTAACATTGCTTTAAATTTAGGATTAGACGTAACGGGTTGCATAATACATATAACTAGAGCTTCGATCCTATTTTTTCAGGACCATCCGGATTGAATTCGGATTCTCTTTCATGAATCCGGTTATAATTTGAATTAAATAAATTCGAATTTGATTCGAATTAAATAAATTTGAATTTGATTCGAATTCAATCATTGATCGACCAATCAAAATCGCGAATATTGAAGCTGATAGAAAAATTTTTTTTTCTAATATACATGCTTATTTTTAATTTATTATTATAACTAGATGCTAGACCCGTCATTAAACGACGTGTTAGATTTTAACATCTCTATTGCCATACCCTGCAGGATAAAGGTGAATAATCAGCATTTCCAAAACTTCTCTGCATAATACATGATATATAAAAAGAAGATAGCAGACATATGTGTTTTAGCCAATCATCAATGTAACATGAGCATAATAATTACAGTAAATAAAGCAAAATAGCATTCTAACAGCTCTTTACGGTTAGTGTTAGGATGAGAAAGGTTGTATTCTAAAATTAATCTAACATCTCTTTATGGTATTAGAGTTCCAATTCGGATAAATCCATCATTAGTGATGAGGGCTGACCCCGGCCCATCGGCCGGGCGGGCCGAGGGTCAGCCCACACCTTCACGGGCCGGGGCCG